AAAAACGCATTTTCTACTACCAAAAATCATTTAGTAGTAAAAAACATGGCATCAAAATTGCTAGCAGAAACTTTTGAAACCAAACTTCATTTAGTAGCAAAAACTTTCCACTATCAGATTTTAGCTCCCGCAAATTTTTGGTAGCGAAAAATCAAAATTATTGTAGTATACTGAGGAGTCAATTTGGTATAAGATCAGAGGCTAAATCTTTAAAAAGCAAACAAAAATAAAAAATAAAAACATTAAAAATGAAAAGAAAAAAATAGAAAATAATGTGTGTTTATTGTCGACCTTGGTTTCTCGCGACCACTTGATGGTATGTCGTCATATCATTTTTTTTTTGTTTGAACATAAATTAACAAGCTTCATTTTGGTCATTTAACAAGCTTCATGAAAGTATAACGTTTTTTAAAATATAAGATAAAATATAGCATCTCAAGATTTATATTATCATCACATAATATGTAAATTGAACAAGAGACTTTACTAACTCAACCGCCTTACAATTCTAAAATATTGACATCAAATGTCATTTAAAAGTGTGTGGTCAATTTGGTGGGTCTTCATAGTGTTTGGCATTATGACTAAACACCCCCAAAATATAATCTTTCAATATTAAAAGAAATCCATAGCACCATAGGATTAGAAAGCAATATTTTGCACGGAAAGAGTTCTCTCTTATGACTTAGATTTAAATATAGAACCTCCTCACAAATTATCAAATCAAATCGAGTTAGATTTTCTTTTAATTACCCAGGCATATATTTTTATGATAGGAAGCAATAAATTTTATCATGTTCACCCCCCTTGAGTACTCTTGTATGTAGGTATGTATGTATGTATGTATGTATAGAGTAATGCAAGATTTCATGTTCTTGTGGATTGATATTAGTAACTATTTTTTTGATCCTCTAAATTTCAATTGCTTATTAAGAAGAATATCATACATTTTCAAGTAAATAAATAAATATCCAATCTCCACCATATTGTTATAAAAGGTAAAAAAAAATTCCACGAATTAATAACCTGCAAAATAAAGGCCTGGTCCATTTTGGAAGACACTGATTTTAAATTTACGTGCCTCGTAAAATTTGTCGTGAAGAAAACTGAACTTTTCTTATATAACGTATAAATTAAGCTCAAATCTTCAGACAAAAGTGTTATTTTCTAATAGCATAACTCTCTAAATCAATTTCTCTAATTCACCCTGAAATATATACTTGTCACCATGTAGTATTTTTTTGCTTGAATAGATGTTATGTGTAATTAACGCCAATAAGTATTGCTGATCTGTAGGGGATGAAATGGTGATGTTGGTTACTCCAGACTACAGTGACCCAAGGCCTAGCCCTCCACATACTGCACCGATGAAGGATGAGTCCACTCTTCCATCAGATGATGAAATGCTGATGCTGATTACTCCAGACTACAGGGGCCCACATACCATCCACTTTCTCCACCGTCGGAGGATGAGTTCAATCTGCCATCTTATGATGAAGTTATGATGCTGATTACTCCAGACTACAGGGGCCCACATCCTCACCCTTCACTTTCTCCACCGTCGGAGGATGAGTTCGATCTACCATGAGATGATCATATTATGATGCTGATTACTCCAGATCACTATAAAAGTCCAAGGACTAGCCCCCCACATGCTCCACCGATGAAGGACGACTCCAATTTATTATAGGTTATTTCAAATAAATTTAGGATTATTCTCTTTGTAAATTCAATTAGACTGAATAGGCAATGGATTAATGTAATTGAAATGAGAATGGTTTTGGAAAGAGAACATAAGGAGAAACTTAATAAACATAGGATGATGTTTAGAGTTAATTAATTTACATATATGTGTGTGAAATTGGAAACAATCTACTTTCCTATTCTTCCATTGCTAAAATATCTTTGTCCATAAATAATGGATAATTAATAAGGTATCGATGTTATCTAATTCATAAATTACGAAGGGTTCATATCTAACTCTTATTTTGATTATTTATATTAATGAAAGGGAGAGAACACAACGGATTACAACAGATCCACGATTTTTTTTAAGGCAATAGCATAATGTTGCATGATTTTTATGCTCGCAAGTATACGTGCTGCAATCAAATAATAAAGAATGAATAAGAGTGTCGATCCCACAATGATTGAGTCACCGATAATAGAATGTAAAAGTCACCTCAAATGCCAAATTTGATAAAAGAATCAACTAACTACAATTCAATAAACTAACTGGACAGAAATGAAGCAATATAAATGCAGCAAGAAGTAGTAAAGATAACGAGAATGCAGCTATAGATCTTAATTCAATGATTAAATGGGCTAGGACTATTGATTTCACCTTAGTTGTAAGTTAGGCCTTAAAATGCTACAGGAATGCTACATGAATGCTACAACATTTTTATTCCAGTTTACATGAATTCTTCCAGTATATTCCTATGTGAATCTAGTTCTCAGATTACAAATCTCAGCACTGGTTCCATTTAGTTATGCAAGATGAGACATACTTAAACAAGCATATTGAACTTGCATCATCTATCTTATATCCAACTAAAATTAACCTTTTCAGTATTAATCTAAGTCTTGTATCCTATAGTTGATGGCCAGTCAAAAATAGAAATAAGCATTAAATATACATAGATGAACAGGAATAAAAACTCAAGCAACTTAAATTTTAACCATCATCCTTACAACCGTAATTCCATTAACAATCTTAACTAAGAACAACCTAATTCATGGTTGAATTTGCACAAAACTAAATTTTCAGTATAATTCATTGTTCAACAAAATTTGTAAATCCAGAGAGAAATTAAATACAATAGAAAGATAGAAAAGAGTTCAACTGATTTGGAGTTTCAATCTTTTTCTCCTCCTTTCCCTTCTTCAAGCGAGCTTTCACTGGATGAAGAAAGCTAGAAAAATTCTTTTCTGAGTATTGGTCCGCTTTTCTTCTTCCTCTCTGTTATGTACTGATTTAGCTCTCTCTTTTTTTTTCACAAAAATGGCATAAAACCTTATTAATGCTTCTCCCTTTTTTTTCTTTTTGGTTTTCTCGGGCTCCGTGCTCTAAGATTAGAGAGCAAGATGGCTTCCCTCCTCTGGCGACTGCCAAAGGATGTGATATTAATCACTCGTATACCTCTGCGTTAGTGAAGCAAGAGAAAGGCTCAAGGGTTTCTGATGTCAACTGGACATGTGGCGACTTAGGAGTGGTGAATGAGCTAGTGGGATCCATGTGGCAGAAGCGGAGAGAGTGAGAATGAGGGTGCATGCAGAATAGATGGGAGCGCGAAGCAGAAAATTTCACTCGCTAGCTGATGAGTGTTGACGCGTGGATATGACCTGGTTTGAATTTTCTCTTAAATTTTGACCCCAATCAAGCTTTAACTTTTCAATTTGGCTCCTTTTTCTTTGTACTTTTGACCTCCATTACATTTCAAACTTTTCACTTAAGCCCCACTGTTACACAAATGAGAACATTAATTATTTTAGAACAAAAACTAAAATAGAAATTACTAAAAAAGTAAATAAACTAAAATAAATCTAAAATGAAAAGTAAATTCATTAACATTCAAAATGAAGTAAAATAAAATAAACTTGAAAACTCAAAAATTAGCCACTTAACTCTATTTTTAATAGAGTTATCACATCTCTAAACTTACTATTTTGCTAGTCCTCGAACAATACAAAAACGAAAATACTTAAAAATAAAGTGTGAATTTTGTGGGTAACTTCTCAAGAATTTTTTTCCTCAAAAATTGAATCAAGAACATAGCTTAGAGAAAAAGATAATTTCTAACAAAGTGCTGATTTCAAATCCAAAAGATTATTTCTTCTCATATTGGACACTTTTTGTGTGTGTGAGTAGCCATATGCTATATCATCAATATTGTCAATTCAAATAGGATCATGCAAACATGCTCTATATAAAGGATCTCAAATGAGAATTTCAAACCCCATAAGCTCACTTTTTAAAACTCTCTCCACTAATGTAGATCAACACATTACCTAAGATCAATAGGACTTTTTAAGTTTGTAATGTTATGCTAGGGTGAAGGTAGGATATGAGGTAATGTTGTGGCTCAAATCACCCCCTTAACACAAGAATCATTCTAGGACCTTAAAAAAGTTTAAATAACACATCAAAGTAATACTCCCAAACTTGATTTTTACTTTCTTTTATCATCCACTTATTGTTTTTTTTTTCCTTTTTTTCACTTTTTTCACATTTTTATCATTTTTTTTAACAAATCCCCTCTACCCCCAAACTTAAAATCAATATTGTCCTCAATGTTGTAAAAAGAGCAAAGCAGGTAAAGAAAACTCTTTTTTTTTCTTTTTTTTTCTTTTTTTGTACATATACAACACAACAAATAAATTTTTACAACACCACCCTTCCTCCCATATGCTAACATAGCCCAATGTGTGTCTTAAAATGACCAACATGCTTATGGGTGAGGGGTAGAAAAGTTAGAACTTTGTTGAATAAGCTAGACTAAAGATGTGGGTAACAAAGAAAATGGTATAAATAGGCTCAACGGGGTCTACTAGGAATACAATATGTCAAGGTAGGCTCAAAAAGCTCAAACGGTCTAAAGATGGCCTAAATTATTTCCTCGGTAAAGTGTTTATCTATGATTTCACCTCAAGAGTTCATCAAGTAAGTTCTAAAGTTTGTGAGACCTAAGAATAAAACACATTTACACAATCGTTCTCTAGAAATTCAATGAATCAATAACACTAGGCTAAGTGCTCAAATGAAGCAAATCACAATCTTTGAATAAGACAATCAAATGAATTCAAGCACAAAACTTAGTAGAAAATTATCATTTTCTAAAAGCTATGCTCAATCTAATCGCATTAATCATAGGTTCAAGAGAATTCACCACAAAAACACACTAACTCAAGAAAACACAAGACTCTTATTTTTTTTTTTTCTTTTAAGATACAAAAACAAGCAAAGACATATACAACGACAAACAAAGTTTTCCCTTAAACTTATCACGCACAATATCCTCAATGTGTAGGCAATAAAAAACACAAGGAAAGGTTTAAAGAAAACTCTCCTATGTCGATTTGGCGCTTAGGCTTGAATGCTTGCTCGCTCTCTTGAATTGAAATCATCCCTTAAGCTCCAACACTTGCACCTACAAAAGAGAACCACCACAGCAAAGTAAAAAGTTTCTATAAAAAAAACCTTAAAATGAAAGAAAACAAGAAAAAGGTTTAAAAAACTTGGGTTGCCTTCCAAGGAGCGCTTGCTTTAACGTCTTTAGCTAGACTCTTGGTGAAGCGCTCATCAAAGAGCGGCTTCCGCCCATAGTAAGTGTCATATGACACTACACATGGGTCTTTCCTTGTGACGCCCTTAAGCTTGGTATGATTTTTACAATTTAGGCACACTGCACCAATAAGATTTGCCTTTGAGAAGTGATGGGCTTGATTGGAGAACTTCATTTTTGGTTCGGGCTCATAAAGAATGTAGTATGGTGGGGGTGATGATGATAGCCAAAATGGGTCGTATGAAGGTGTATACAATAGTGCCATTGATGAGCTCAAACCAATGGTCTCGTGAGCTTCCACATCCTCCATCAACTCTTTTATCTCTCCCTCTTGTAGGAATTCCTCTGGCATCCCTTCAAAATGCTCTTCACGCTCCACTTGGCTATCCAAAACCATGCTTGCGATTTGATCTTCATAAAAATCATGGCCTTGGAAGGACATCTCTTGAACTAAAAAGGGTACATCGGTATCGGTCATGTGATAGTCCAACTTAGTGAAAGATTGAGCTAAAACAACTTCAAATGGTTCTTTCTCTTCATCCTGAGGCTCTATTTCCTCTAGAGGCTCAAATTCCTGTGAAGCTCCCATATCATTCGTTTCACTCTCCCAACCTTGGTTGTTTGAGTCACCATCATCAAGCCACATTTGATTATTCACCATTTGATTTTCAACCTTAAGATTCTTGGTCCACTCTATCAAATGGTTGATAGCATTCCCCAACTCAGCCATTGCTTCCTCTAGTCTCATTTTCTTCTCTTTTTGATGCTCGAATGGTTGGTTTCTAATATCGGGGTGTGAGATATATGAAGGATATGGATGACTCCAACCCTGCAGTGAAGGATCCCAATGCCAGTGGTAGTCGAAATCCACCATGTCATTCAATAAGTACATTGCACTTTTATGGCTTCTATTTAACAAGTGACCACCGGTTGTCAACGCTCTATAATCCACCCAACTTCTTGTTGCTTCATCCAACCCATTGTAGAAACAGAAAGTTAGAAACTGATTTGAAAGATTGTGGTTGGAATATCTCTCTACCATGTCATTGAATCTCCCCCAAGCGACATAAAATGGCTCCAAGTGTTGTTGGGCAAAACTCGCAATGACTTGTTGATGAAACATCTTGAAGTACCTCGTAAAACAAATGACTCAAAGAAAAAAATTAGAAACAAATAAAAATAAAATAAAATAAACAAATAAAATGACTTCTACAAATATTCTCAATGATTTCAATCCCCGACAATGGCGTCAAAAACTTGTTGCGTGATTTTTATGCTCACAAGTGCACGTGCCGCAATCAAGTAATAAAGAGTGAATAAGAGTGTCGACCTATAAGGATTGAGTCACCGATAATAGAATGTAAAAGTCACCTTAAAAACCAAATTTGATAAAAGAATCAACTAACTACAATTCAATAAACTAATTGGACAGAAAGGAAGCAATGTAAATACACCAAGAAGTAGTAAAGATAATGAGAATGCAGCTATAGATCTTAATTCAATGATTAAATGGGCTAGGACTATTGATTTCACCTTAGTTGTAAGTCAGGCTTTAAAATGCTACAGGAATGCTACAACATTTTTATTCCAGTTAACTAAAACTTAATTTTTGCATAAAATTCTTCCGAATTAATTATGACCTAAATTCTTCAAACCATTTCCAGTATATTCCTATGTGAATCTACTTCTCAGACTACAAATCTTAGCACTGGTTCCATTTAGTTATGCAAGATGAATAATATATTCGTATACCATTCACAAATCAATATACTTAAACAACATATTGAACTTGCATCATCTATGTTATATCCAACTAAAATTAACCTTTCTAGTATTAATCTAAGTCTTGTATCATATAGTTGATGCCCAGTCAAAAATAGAAATAAGCATTAAACATACATAAATGAACAGGAATAAAAACTCAAACAACTTAGATATTAACCATCATCCTTACAACCTTGGTTCCATTAACAATCCTAGCGCTAAGAACAACTTAGTTTGTGGTTGAATTTGTAAAAAATCAAATTCTCAGTATAATTCATTGTTCAACAAAATTTGCAAACCCAGAGAGAAATTAAATATAACAGAGAGATAGAAAAGAGTTCAACTGCTTTGGAGTTTCAATCTTTTTCTCCTCCTTTCTCTTTTTCAAGCGAGCTTTCACTGGATGAAGAAAGCTGGAAAAATCCTTCTCTGAGTATTGGCCCCCTTTTCTTTTTCCTCTCTGTTTTGCATTGATTTAGCTCTATCTTTTTTCACAAAAATGGCATAAAACCTTATTAATGCTTCTCCCTTTTTTTCTTTTTGGTTTTCTCGGGCTCTGTGCTCCAAGCTTAGAGAGCAAGATGGCTTCCCTCCTCTGGCGGCTGCCAAAGGATGGGATATTAATCACTCCTATACCTCTGCGTTAGTGAAGGAAGAGAGAGGCTCAAGGGTTTCTGATGTCAACTGGACATGTGGCGACTTAGAAGTGGTGAAGGAGCTAGTGGGATCCATGTGGCAGAAGCGGAGAGAGTGAGAACGAGGGTGCATGCAGAATAGATGGGAGCGCAAAGTAGAAAATTTCACTCGCTAGCTGATGAGTGTTGACGCGTGGATATGTCCTGGTTTGAATTTTCTCTTAAATTTTGACCCCAATCAAGCTTTATCTTTTCAATTTGGCTCCTTTTTCTTTGTACTTTTGACCTCTATTACATTTCAAACTTTTCACTTAAGCCTCATTGTTACACAAATGAGAACATTAATTATTTTAGAAGGAAAATTAAAATAAAAATTACTAAAACTAAAATAAATTAAAATAAATCTAAAATGAAAAATAAATTCATTAACATTCAAAATAAAGTAAAATAAAATAAAATAAACTCAAAAACTCAAAAATTAGCGACTTTAAATGCACAAAAATAGTGAAATAACTTTATTTTTAATAGAGTTATCACATAACTTCATTAAAAAGCCACTAAAGGGCACTAGAGTTAAGAACTGGGTGCTACTCATATGACTAGACAATACAAACGCACCCCTTACCCAATAACGGAGAGAACTCCTCCAACTAGTGGCACTATAATAGAATTCAGTCACTTCAAAATGACTCCAGATGAACCATATCTCAGTCCCAAAGGGGACTACATAACTCGAATTTAGAGCAGTGTGGAGAACACCCTAAAGGGGACTACATAACTCAGATTTAGAGCAGTGTGGAGGACACCCTATAGACTAGGGCTGGCAATCTGAGTAACGACACGACTCGAAATTCACAAGAAGTTAGCGGGTTTGGATTTAATATAAATGGGTTTGGGTCATAATCAGATGGACACGATTAATAAATTGGTTGGGTTAGGGTTGACCTCCTAACACGAAATGACACGAATTGACACGATTAACTATATGTGTCATCTGTAATATAATAATATGTGATATAACATGAAAGCTTATATGACATATTAAAAGTCATTATTATATTAATTATTTATTCAATATATTAATTTAAACGGATTATACGGGTTGACACTATTAACACGATTAATAAATGGGTCGCCTTTGGGTTGACATTTTTGACACGTTTAATAAACAGGTCATGTCTGGGTTAATGTTTTCGGACACGATTAATAAACAGGTTGACACGAACACGACCCACTAGCACGAATTGTCACCCTTACTATAGACAATACCTAACGCCGGTAGATGGGGACACCATCACCGCTATTACAACACAAATTAAAACAAAGAAAACTCTACAAAGATCCCAAGAAATCAAACTAACAATATCGAGCCCCTCAACGCTGGAGGTATGTGAAACACGATAGGAGTGGCACAAGAGAAAAGCTCCTAAAACGGTGACAAAAGCACCGGAGACACGGCTCCGCTAACGAGCGGCAACTACGATACGCTCCGGACCACCTTCCTCGTCTCCCTTCCACGATCTAGTTCCCAGAGTTTCAACAGAATTCTGAGGCGAACACGTCCTAGATCTAAGGTAGAAGACCAGAAACTGCTTCCCATTGAACAACTCCATTTCAGTGACTAACTACATTTTATGTCGGCACGAACCCGACGCCAGTGACCTCTGCGATTTCTCCGACGAACTTTGGAGGCCGGCTCTGGCAAATAGTCGGATCACTGACCTCAGAGAACTCTTCCTCTAAACTTGTTACAGAGCACCTCTCTCTAACTTTCTCTCTCTAAAACTCTGACGGCTAGGGTTTTAATTCCACGATTTTCTTTTCTAATTTTATCAGATAATGTGATTCGAACTAAAACAATACTATTATAATTTTGTAAGTAAAAAAGCATTAATGGATTTGAAAGAGAAATACTCCTCCCACCTCTTTCTTTAATTAATTTTTGCTAAACCCGAAATTAGAAGGTTCAATATCAATCTCCTTCTCATAAGTAAACATATCCTTGTTATTATCTTGCAACGGCACACCATGCCCTAAAGTGACGAACTTAAGAGAGTTAGATGCTGCCGTTTTTTTTTTTTTTTTTTTTAAATTCTAGCTGTTGCCTTTAAAGTCAATTAGAAAACCAACAAATAAATTAAGAAAGAGAAAAACCATTTCGAAAAGAGAGAATCTGTTAAAGTCTCGTGTTTGCCCAGTGGCCACGTTTTGTCCCACCAGGCCCTAACATTTTCCCTTGCATTGACCCTATAAATATACTCCATATTGCTTTCTCGCTCTCGCTCATATATATCCATATATATATATATATATGCAGTCACGAGTCTCAACTAATATATATATATATATAGAGAGAAACTGGCTAGAGAGAGAGAGAGAGAGAGAGATCAAAATGCGATTGGGAGCTCGACTGTGCTTGTGTCTCTTGCTAATTTCCTTTACAGTACTGAGCTGTTCTGCTAGAACCACCATGTTACTTTCGGGTACGTTAATTTCTTTGCCTCACGATAACTTATTAGTCCTTTTTCACTAGAAATTATTTTGAGAGAGCCAAAAATCTGGGTTTTTGGAGTTTATTTACAAAGTAACACAAGCAAGAATGCATATTTAATATCAGATCAAACCCAAAACCAGTTTGCTATCATTGCCCTTAAAACATTCTAGAAATAAGGATCAGTTTATAAGCTAGGGTTAAAAAAAGGATGGTTTTACAAAATAATATTCAAGCTACTTTTTCAATTTCTTTCTTCTAAACTGTCTGTTTTAGCAGGAAGCATTTACATGCATGAAGTGGAAAATCTAGGTGCAGTCTTTAAAACTTTCTGTACATGAACTTGAATTATATATACATGCGCGCACGCACGCGCGCGCGCGCACACACACACACACACACACACACACACACATATATATATATATATCTAGATATGTATATCAGTGGAGGTATATATTGAGGTTCGTGCATCACCAGCTGTATTCCGCGTTTACAGTCATGTCCATGTTTGTCTTTGCTAAACCGAGTAATTAACTAGTTCAAGTTGTACATTATTATTTATATATAAGCAAGTGGACAACCTTCGTTCCTCTTTTCTCTCTCTGTTTTTTTTTAATATTGATTCTTATCCAGAAATTTTTCTCTTTTTTTTGGTTGGTTGGTTTATGTACAGCGCCAATGGAAAGCATAAACCAAAATTTAGAAAAATAATATATAATTTACATGATATATATAAATGAGAAATATTCCGTTTTTTTTTCCTCTTTCCTTTTAGAAAATTAATGGTCTCTCCTTAAGAGCTCAGGTCTCTGTACTTATCATGATGATCATAAGTAGTATTCCAATAATGCTATTTTGTCTAATTAAACATTGGCTTAGATCATTACATGTGCAACAGATGAAAATTTTGTTTTGGGGACAAAGGGAAGATCACTGAGTGTGAGAGCCAACGACTACGATGAGCCGATCGCAAATCGCGGCCACGATCCTCCCTCTTCCTCACCGAGCCGATCAGGCAGGGCAGGCAACGGTGGCAGCAGAAGAGGCTAGCAGTAGCTAGCTCAAATACTTCTCTTTTTCCTTTTATTATAATTTACCTTTTGCCTCTTGCATGGCTTTATAATAAGCTAATGTATCTGCTAACATGCAATAATTGATCGTTATTTTTAATGTCATAATTATTTATCTAATCAATATATATACTGCTATGTGTAATTAACCGTACGTGAATGTGAAATTAATATCATATGTGTGTCTTTTATTGTGTATGTGTTTTTTTTTTTTTTTTAAAGAATTTAGAGTGAGGAATTCGAACTTTACACTTGTGATGAAATAAGATTTAAAATTACTGACGATTATTATATATGTGACATGTATTTAAATATTTTATTTTTTGTTTTAATTTGAGGTGAGGGATTTGAGATGTATATCTTTATAGTAGAGTTACATGATATGAATTTGCAGTTAGACCAACCAATCTAGTGGTTTAATTATGTGTTATTGGTTGACATCATTTAGGGAATCAAAGATGAATTCCCGCACTCTGAATACGACATTCAATGGCCATGCTTTTGTGCATTAGTGGGAACAGTACTGGAAGTCTGAGACGCCAAAGTTGCTTTTCCCAGGCAGTTTTAGGCCCCTTAATCCTGGAATACTAATCCAAAGCTTCATTTAAGACTCGTTCATTTTACTAATTAAATTTTTAATTTTAGTTTTATTTCAGTTAAAAGTTATCATAAAAAGTCACATTTAATTTTTTCTGTTACAGTAAAAAGCTCTCACATAAAATCACATCTCAACTCGAATTGAAAACTCGAATCTGCGAATTGAACAATGCCTTACTATTTAAGAGCTCGAGCTTAAAAGTGAGTTGAAAAGTGAATTTATATGAGACAAAATAATATTGTAGTAATAAAAATAATTTTAATACTATAACAAAAAGTTGAAGTTGTGATTCTAATGGTAAAAAAAACAGATATACTAGAATGTGACAAATTTTAAACGCGCACATTAGAAAAATATGTGGGCAAATTAATCTATGTACAAGATATCTTGACAAATATTAATATCCGGTTTTAGAAAATGAAAAACTATGAGCTTCCCGTTCCCACTAAAACGAATAGAGTAGCCCATGCGTGTTGGAACTTTGGGCTGGCAGGCCGGCCCGAGGCCTAAATTTTTTCGGCTCGGCGGGCAGGCCCAATTGCCGGCCCGTCCAACGTTATATTTTCGGGCTTGGGCTTGGGCAGCCCGAAAATGGACACCACGCTGGAGCGCGCGCCGTGTTGTCGTCGTTAACCGCCGTCTGCCAGAATTTTTTTGAATTTTTCCGGTCAGGCCTGATTTGCCCGCCTGATTGCCCAAAAACCTGAATTTTGACCGTTGGAGCCCAACCCGACATGAAACCCGAAAAACCCGATTTGCCCGAATTGCCTGACCTACCCGAATTGCCCGATTGCCCAAAAACCCGTCCAATGGCTAGTTTTTTTACCGTTGCCCGAACCCGACCTGCCGAAACCAAAAGTAGCCATTGCATCCGAATTTTTTTCAAAAAAAAATCAATTTTTTAACCCAAAATTTTTTCTATAAATACCCCTCATCCCCCACACATTTTTCTCACTCAAACTCTCTCAATCCCTCTCAATTTCTCTCAATTTCTCTCAATCTCTCAAATCTCTCTCATAATTTTTCCAAAAACTATCACATTATCCTAAAGCTCCCTCTCTCAAATCGCTCTTATTTTTTTATAATGGATCCTTTTGGTTATAGTGGTATTCTCGTTGATGCCCAACACAACGTGAAAGAAGGGCAATTTCCCACTAATGAATTTGTTACGCATGAATCTACTAATCCGAGCCCTGGTGGACGTACTGGAGATTGTGGTCGCAATGGTGGTGGGTGTGGAGAAGCGGTGAGTGCAAGTGTGACTGCGTCTGCGTCTGCAAGTGTTGCAACCTCCAGGAGGAAATACAAGCGCACCTCGACAGTTTGGGATCACTTCGACACAATTGAGGAGATCGACAATGAAGGTAACATTAAACATATAGCTCAGTGTAAATATTGTTTATCTAAATTACAAGGTGATACTATTCACGACACCACACACTTGAGAAGACACTCCGAAAAATGTCTTCAAAAGCTTAGCCAATCCGGCAGACCCGAACTCCGTCAAACACAATTATCTTTTGATCACGCAACCGGTGGTCTAACCACTTGGAAATACGATCCGCAAGTAGATCGTATGGAAGTTGCGCGAATGATAGCTGCTTTAGATCAACCACTTAGTTTTGTAGAGCATGCTAATTGGCAACGATATATTAAGGTTGTACATAATCATAATGCACAGTTCACTTCAAAAACTACTCTTAGGAAAGATTTATTAAAATTATCTAAGAAAAAAGAAGCATTAATAAACCTTTTACACTCGACTAGCGGATGCGTTGTGTTAATACCAGATATTTGATCTGTCGTTGCCAATAAAGATTATGTAACTATAACCAGACATTACTTTAAAGGATTTGATTTAGGTAAGAGAATATTAAGTTTTAAATGTGTTCTAGGATCACATAGCACGGATTTAATATATAATACAATTTTAAATTTAATTGATGAATTTAGATTAAGATATAAAGTAATGGCTATAACATTAGATAATGCTAGTGCCAATACACTAATACAAAAGCAATTGAGTTCTTTGAAAATGATTTATGTTGATAAGGTGACGGTACTATTTTCCACCAACGTTGTGCATGTCACGTAATTAATTTAATAGTTAAATCTGGTTAAAAGAAATGGGTAATCACATTAAAAGAATTAGAGATAATCTTGCATGGATTCAAGGTAGTAACCAAAGACAAGAAGATTGGTTTAGGTTCTTACAAGCATTAAATATACCTCCTAGAGCATTAGCGTTAGATATATGCCTATAAGATGAAACTAAACTTATATAATGCTTCAACAATGCATCCCTTATAAGGATGCTATAACAAACTATATGTGTACAAAAGTAGGAGTATGACATATAGACGCATATGATTGGCAAATTGCTGAAGTTGGTATCAATTTTTAAGTAGGTTTCATGAAGTTACTCTAAAACTTAGTAGAATATATTACCTAACATCATCTTTAGCTTTAGGTAAACTTTTAAGAATTAGTATTTTATTTAGCGAATATAGGGAGGACCCAATCTTAGGAGTTCCTATCCAATCTATGAAAAAGAAATTTAAAAAATATTGGTCTAAGTTGCAGTTGTTGTATGGTTTACGTACTATTTTTGATCCTAGATTAAAATTAGAAGGTTTAGAAAGTGATTTAGAAAACTTAGATGAATTTTTAGGCATCAATTGTTCGGACCAATTTCCAATAATAAAGGTAAAAATATATTCGATCTATAATAAATATGAGATTAGGTTTAGAAGCACAAACTCTAGAGTACAGGAACCGCAACAACAAGACGAAAACCCACATTCATTCTTGAATGTTTTTGGGTTGAAGAAGAAGAAGAAGACAACTCAAATAGAAGCTGGGAGTGGATCTTCATCAACAAGTGACAATGGCAGCAGCGGCAGTAGCTTCAACGAGCTTATGGCGTACCTCAGTGAAGGCTTAGTAATCGACGGTACTAGAGAATCGTTTAACTTAGTTCAACGGTGGAGGGCATGGGCATTAACTTGGCCAATCCTAACTCGATTAGCAATGGATATATTTTTTTATCCTAGTGTCCACTATTTCATCCAAACAAGCCTTCAGTACGACAGGAAGAATACTTGAGGAATGCCAGAATGCATTGTAAAGGGATATTGTTGAAACCTTGGTTTGCATTAAGGATTGGGATCGGGCCGATCAACGTCTACAGGACACAATTTCGC